AGAACTTGAGCGAGGGCACCCCGTTGGGGATCATGGTGTCCATGGCGTCCACGAACTTGTAGCGGTCGTCGAGCTTGACCAGGGGTGGCATCCCTCCTCGTTCGGGCGCGAGCTCGATGCGGAAATCCTCTGTGATAACGTAGGCGTCGGACCGCAGCGCCAGCAAGTCGTCGCACTTCTTCACTGGCGCGAATCGCGTCCGCGGGATGCAGATCGCTTTAGCGCCTTCGAAACAGGAGATGGCTGCGCCCATTGCGGTCTCGAGCTGGATTACCTTCGTGGACTTCTTGTCGCGCGGGTCCACCGTCTTGTCGTTCAGCATCACTGGCAGCGGAATTGCGCCGCCAGCCTTCTCGAAGAGGGCCTTGAGTTTCTCCAGGTCCACCCACAAGTTGTTGGTGTTGAAGTAGGCATACTTTGTAGTGTCCTGGAAGGCCTTCTCGTCCTCCGGCGGGCACTGCGCAGACTCGCGCAACGTGAGGCCACCGTCTGATTTCTTCGTTGCGAGATGGCCGCCCTTCTTGTCGGCGTCCGTGCGGTCAGCGACCTCCATCATGAAAGGGGCGCCAGTGCTCTTAAAGTAAGATAACAACTTGAGGTCCATCGTCGCGCCCAGGTTGTCGGAATTCGACACGAACATGTACTTCAGCCCCTTGGACAAGAGTTTGTCCAGAGCCCCGCTGCCGAGCATGGCAGGGTACAGGTCGCCGTGACCTGGCGGGCACCACTCGTTCTCTGGGGACGCGGGCCAGCTTGCTGGCGTGTATCCGTCCTTGGTGACCTTGGGGGCCTTGTTCTGCACAAATGACAGGTCGGCGCCACTGCCGAGGTCTGGGTACGGGGCCAGAGCGGCTTGGGTGTCAGCCTCCGTGGCAAATGAATTCATCAGCATGAACTTGAGGTCAAGCTGGGAGTACTTCTTCTTCATGAACGCCACCTGCTTGGCGATAAGGTCGAGGAAACTGTTCCCCTCGGTAACGGTGAGCAAAGACTTCGCCTTCTCAAGCCCCATTCCCGTGCCCAGCCCGCCGTTCAGCTTCAGGACAAGCGTCTGCTTCAGCAACTCGGGCTCCAGAGCGACGTCCAAGTCGTCATACTTCGGCAGCGGCGCCACCGGGTCAAGGGAGGCCTCAGGCATCATGGTGGACTCGCCTGAGCACAACACCTTGAAATTGTATTTGAACGCGTTGATGGCGGCTTCGTTGCAACCGTCCGCCTTCATTTTCGCCTCGTAGGCCGGCCACAGGGTCTCAAATGAGGCAGCCATTGTGGCGCACGGGGAACTGTTTTTTGAGTTTGATGCGCACAGTCCCAAATGAGTAACCGACTGCCCCATGTAATCATCCCAGAAGATAATAAAGTTCGGGGGTATGGCGGGGATAATCAACGATTCCCCCGGTGAAGGTGATGCTATAAAGCTATGGTGATGACGATGATGATGATACTGGGCGCTCGTGTAGACTGACCTTGTAAATCCTGGCGCAAGACTGATTCGAGAGATCTCGAGGCTCGTGGCTACAACTTGCCTGCGAAAGAGAGGTCCTTGGCGCTCCTGGCCAAGAAACCTCTCTTGCGCACGGCCTCAAACCACTCAGTCATGCAGGCTCGGCACCTTTTGGAGCCGTCCTTGCACGGGAGGCACTTGGTGCAGGCCTGCCACAAGCTCGTGATTGAGGAAGCTGTGATGGTGAGACCACCATTGCCATGCCCAGCGGTTTTCATGCTGTTGCTAGTCAACATGAGATGATAGCAACTTCGATTCGCAATCTCCTCTGGGGATTATCAAATTCGGCCTCCGCGCCCTTTCCACAATTAAATCCTAATGACACGGGATAGAAATGTGTGGGGGGGTGACGGGGGGAGGGAGGCTTTATCATCCGGGGCAGTGGGTTACCACAAACTTGATGGGTGCTTGACTGACAAGCTCTCGTGTTGCCTTACCTTGTGCCAAAATGGCTGCGGACTTCGATATTTCTTGCAACGTGTTATCTGCGTCTCTTGCACGAAAGGGCGGCATCATGCCGAGTGCCTCCAGTTAGCTGCCAAATCTTTGTCGAGAGTGGCGCCAGAGCAGACGTTTCGGACTTGCAAGGAGCAGCTGTTTGTCAGAGGATCGCACTGTTCATGTCACTGTAGCGGCCATGTCGCTAACGATATCCCTACTTATCGCCGCATCACAGACATTCGATGCAACGATCGCGTCGGACCGCATTTCTGGGCATTCAATTTCTGGTTGCTACTTCATTCCATGAACCTGGAGCGATCACAATTAGGGGGATTCTCTTCGCTGAAGTATGCACGTGCATTGAGCAACAATGTTGTGAAACGCAGGGATGTGCCGTGCAATGCAAAACCCAAGGCAACTCAGCAGTGCGTCGCATATGTTGACACACCAGGGTAGTTCAGCACGGACTATCATGTCAGTGTTTGTCAGGATATATGATAGCATGGCGTTGGATAGCACTGCGTATGCGCGCGGTCATAAACTCTCGACGTCGGCACTGTTCACGGGGGCGAGAGCAGGGAACACGAGGGTTTCGGGCCCCATGTGGGGCCATAGATCTGGCCGAAATCGGCGTGTTCCCCTAGAGCCACCTCCAACATCCCGAACATCGTCGAGAGCGATCGAAAAACCCGCCCTCTACATCTTGTCTTAGCATCACGGAACACGGTATTGCACAGCCAGGCACGGCACGTCACAGCGAAACATTGCGCAGATCAGAAAAGCAGCTCTTCTGGCAGGAACTGGCGCCCAAGGCAAGAGGAATCGGCCCACAAGGTGCGACCAGACAGCGCCTCTCTTCACAAAGCAAGTGAAAACCCCTAGGCCAGCCTGTGGCAAGCTCGTGCCGTGACGACCTGCGCGTTGGTTCCTGACGCCGCGTGGATCGTTCAGCCTTGAACGATCGGCGGCTTTACGATCGCCAGGTCGTTCCATGTTGGATGCTTCTGGGCCGCTGGCGGCGCTCAACCTCGAACGCCCGCGGCAAGGTCGCCGCCACGCTGGCACGACACGGACTCGCCGTGCTCACTGCAACAAGAAGCGTGCCCGAATGCTGGTCGTGAGCACGTGCTCGCCTCAAACTTCTTGCCGGTGTCCGTGCAGAGTGGCTCCCTTGTGGGGCCTGCAGCGGACCCTCCACGACCTTGGAATGAACATCGACCGCTCCCAATGTAGTCGCGAAAACTGTCGAGGGGTGGCCGAACAAAAAACCTAGCCGAACGACAGGAGCACGCGGGCGGTATTGAAAGCCTCGAGGCTTGGAAGAACCGCCCTTCGCACGACGTGAATTTTTTCCACGTTGCCCTAAGGGTTCTTACTTACTTGTTGTTGGAAGAAACTGGTGGGTGATGGACCCGGAAATGTTGGGGTTCCCCAGGGTTCCCTGGTCTTGCTTCTTCAAACAGCGCTTGCACTTAGGGGTCCTTGCTCGCGTTAAAAAAATGGATGGGTGTCCCGAGGATTCGCCACGTTCTGGCTTGTTGCCGTATGGTTGCCGCCCGTTGCCGCCTGCGGGGGTGTCCCAAGGATTCACCACGTTTTGGCCCGTTGCGGGCCGTTGCCGGCCGTTGCCGACTGTGGGGGTCCAGGGGATTCGCAAAATGCCACCCGCTGCCGCCCGTGGGGGTCCAATTCACAAGATTCGCCACGTTCTGGCCCGTCGCCGCCTATGGGGGTGTCCAAAAGATTCGCCATGTTCCGGCCCACTGCCCCCCTTGCCGGCCATTGCCGCCTGTGGGGGTGTCCCGAGGATGCGTGCATGATCTTCGAACAACAGCAGAGACGCTTGTGCATCACAGAGCTTGCACAGCCACGCTGCCGTAACTATTTGTCTGGGGTCCACGCTGGCAAACATCCCTTACAGAAGGGGTTCCTGGGTTTCTTTGCAACAGCGGTCCTCGGGGTTCCCCGGGTCCCTTTGGTCTTGCTTCCTCACCGTTGTTGAAAGCCAGCCTTCCTTGCATTCCTCGGGGTTCCTTGGGTCCCTTTGGTCTTGTCACCTCACTGTTTTGGAAGGCTGTCGTTGCTCTAGCTTCCCTGCGATCCCCGTGTTCCATGATCTTGTTTCCTTACTGTGTCTGAGGCTTTGTGAGGCAACGCCCAGCAAGGCATAGAATTTCCAAGCAATGCCAAACGATGTCAAGCAATGCCATACAATCCCAAACAATGCCAACCCATGCCAAGAGATGCCAAGGCATGCAAATCCAACCAGCCCTTTGGGCTAAGGTGGTTTGGCGATATCTTTGTTTCCTCTTCCAAAACAGTCTTCCCTTCGGGGGGGGGACCCTCCCCCTCCCCTCCCTGAGTTTTTTTTGGCGGCGGCCGCGATGTGTCAAAGGGTCCTTTTTCGCCCAATCTGGCTCCGAGAGGGCCTCCAAGTCGGCTCAAGATAGCCGAAGATGGTTCAAGATCGCTTCCTACATACCTCCAAGAGGCCCGACGAGGGCCACAATACGTTTTTTTGAATGCTCTCGGAGCCCCCACAAGACCCCCCCCAAAGAGGCCCAAATCCTTCAAGCACCTGCAGAACAAATGATTTTCGCCTTCTCGCCTTTTCGCTTTCGATGCGCTTTGGAGGCCTCCAGAGAGGCCCAAGAGGGGCCCAAGAGGCCCCCCAGACGGCCCCAAGAGCGCCCAAGAGCGGTCTCAAGATGCCCTCTAAAATTCCCAAGAGGGCCCCAAGAGAGCTCCACGAGGGCCCCAAGACGGCCCCAAGAGCGCCCAAGAGCGTCCCACGAGGGCCCCAAGAGGCGGTTTGCCTCCTCCTCCTCCTCCTCCTCCTCCTCCTCCTCCTTATCATCATCCCCTCGCTCCCTCGGCCCGACGAGGCCCTCCAAGGCCACCCCCTTGCTCCCAAGGATCTCTCTGTCCTTCTGGACGCCCGCTTTGTTTCACAATATATATATATATATATATATGTATTTGTGTCTGTTCGCCCCTTTTGCCGTCAACTCTCCTGGGCAACGCTTATGAATGGGCTGGTGGGGATACGCGAAGCGTGAATCATTAGCTCAACTTGGTGAGACTACGTGCCAAGCGATGCCAAGCCATGCCAAACAATGCCACACTTTGCCAAGCAACGCAAGCAACGTTAACCAGTGCAACACAATGCCAAGCACTGCCAAGCAATGCTCAGACGTGCCACGCACTTCCAAGCAACGCCAAGCGATGCACACCAGCTCAAAGCAGTGCAACGCCAAGCAAAGAAAACCAGTGCCCAACAACGCCAATGCCAAACACTGCCGCTCAAGAGCCACTCCCCTGATTGGGGTTGCGCCAGGCCCACGGTTTCCACGATGCGGGGCCCGAAACTCTCGACTCCACGCCTGGCCGGGTGGCTCGGCGTGGGCCGCCCCTGGATGGCACTGGGGCCCGGGGGCGGCCCGCAGAGCTCCGCATGGTGGGCAAAACTCTGGCGGTGCAGGGCTGGATCTAAACGTCGCTGTTCGTTTTCCTCTACCTGCTTTCTTGTACCTCCCTTTCAAAACGAAAAGCAAAACACCGCCGAAGTCCAACACAAACAGCGTTCAGGTCCAGCCGTGTGGCAGTGTTTCCCTCCCAATATGAATGTAAACTTTCAAAGGTCCGCGCGGATTCCTTGGATCCGCGCTGGACCCCGCGGCGCGCGCCAGGGGCGGCGCCGGAGGCGCCGCCAGGGAGGGCCCCAGCGTGGATCCAAGAAGCCCGCGCGGAGCGCCAACAATTTATGCTTATGGCGTTGCTTCTTCCTCGAGGATCCTCAGGTGTCGCTGCCCATCCGGCAAGCAAAAGAAAACCCGTCCGCCAGCCCGGTAGTTCTCGGCCGCCTCCGACGGGAAGCGGTCGGAGCAGCGATCATTCTTCCATTTTTGTTTGCCTGCGCTGCATGTATTACACTGGCGGAGGACAAATGCGAGGTCTCCGCCAGGAGTGCCACCCCATCCCCCGAACGGGGGCCCAGGGTAGGATGCACTCCTGGAATCGCATAGCCTCTGGCCGTCATCCCAGGCGCGACCTGGTCACAATCGAGGTCGGGAACTGGGCTCTCACGGAGCCAGAGCGCTAAACGGAGATTTCTCTTAATTTTTTGTGTTGTGTGTTGTGTGCCGTCTGAAAAAAAAAACCCTCCTTCTCCTCCTCCTCCTCCTCCTCCTCCTCCTACCTCCAGGACTCATCCGACATGACAGGCGTCACGGCGTCACGGAGCAGGAGGGTGAGGATGCGGAGGAGGGCCAGGAGAGCGAGGGTGGCGCAGCAGAGGGCACCAGCAGAGCAGAGCGAGGATCAGCAGAGTGAGGCTCACGAGAAGAGGGAGATCAGGAGAATGAGAAAGTGGAGGGCGAGGAGCAGGATCGTGAAGCAGGAGGGCGAGGGTGAGGAGATCGAGAATCAGGAGAGTCAGGAACATGAGGCCCAAGAGGCGCCTTGTCCACGACCAAGCTTGGCCCCAGAATGCCGCAAAGAGCTGTCGAGAGGCTTCCTCCTCCTCCTCCTCCTCCTCCTCCTCTTCTTCGAAGCCAGCGCGTTGGCTGCACGGTAGGTCCCGACAATCTTCTACCATTGACCCTGACCGTGCAGGCATCCAGCAGCCCCTCTCGCCCCCATGCTCACAACCTCCACCTCCTCCACCTCTCCGAGCTCTCCTCCTCCTCCTCCTCCTCCTCCTCCTCCTCCTCCTCCTCCTCCTCATGCTTCCCTCTCCTCCTCCTTTTCCTCCTTTTCCTCCTTTTCCTTTCCCTTTTCCTTTTTCTCTTCCTCTTCCTCTTCCTCTTCCTCCTCCTCCTCCTCCTCCTCTTCCTCCTCGTCGTCCGTCCTCCTCCTCCTCCTGCTCCTGCTCCTGCTCCTCCTCCTCCTCCTCCTCCTCCTCCTCCTCCTCCTCCTCCTCCTCCCTTTCTCTCCCAGAATTCGTCGCCAGATTCGCCAAATGTCCTGGTTCTCGCCTGGGCCTCCCTGTGGGGGCTCTGGGTGCGGTTTTACTGAGGATGTCCCACGCGAGGGCGCCAGCTTGGAATTCTTCGCTGGATTCGCCGGATTTTCCGGATCTCGCCTGGAACGTAACAAGGGGGCCTTTGAGGGCCTCCTTAGGGAGGTTCCAGGAGCGGTTTTTCTGAGGATGCGAGAAGGCGCCGGTTTGGAATTCGTTGTCGGATTCGCCGGATTTCCCAGATTTCGCCTGAAACGGAACAAGGGGCCTCCTCGGGGAGGTTAGGGGAGCGGCTTTTGTTGAAGATTTCCCACGCTAGGGAGCCGGTTTGGAATTCGTCGCCGTTTTCGCAAGAGGAGCCGGATTTCCCGAATCTCGCCTGAAACGGAACAGGGGGGCCTCTGAGAGCCTCCTTGGGGACGCTCTGGGGACGGTTTTTCTGATGATTTCCCACGCGAGGGCGCCGGTTTGGAATTCATCTCTGGACTCGCCGGATTTCGTCTGATTTGCCTGAAACGGAATAGGGGGGCCTCTCTTGAGGAGTCTCTGGGGGCGTTTTTTTTCTAGGATGTTCCACGCGAGGGCGCCAGTTTGGAATTCGTCGCCGGATTCGCCGATTTCGCTGGATTCGCAGGATTTCTCGGATCTCGCCTGAATGGAACAGAAGAGCCGGGGGCGGTTTTTCTGAGGATGTTCCATGCGAGGGCGCTGGTTTGGAATTCGTCGCCGGATTCGCCAAACTCGCCAAATTTCGCTGCACTCGCCAGATTCCCAAATCTCGCCTGAAACGGAACAGGGGGGCCTCTGAGGGCCTCCTTGGGGAAGCGCCGGGGATGGTTTTTCTGAGGATGTCCCACGCGAAGGCGCTCGCTGGTTTGGAATGAGTCGCCGGATTCGCTGGATCTCGCCAGATTTCGCCGGATTCGCCAGATTTCCCAAATCTCGCTTGAAACGGAACAGGGGGGCGTCTGAGTGCCTCCGTGGGGAGGCTCCGGGTGCGGTTTTTTGAGGATATCCCACGCGAGGGCCTGTTTGGAATTCGTCGCCGGCTTCGCTGGATCTCGCCAAATTCGCCGGAATTCCCAGATCTCGCCTGAAACGGAACATGGGGGCCTCTGAGGGCCTCCTTGGGGAGGCTCTGGAGGCGGTATTTCTGAAGATGTCCCACGCGAAAGCGCCCGTTTGGAATTCGCGCCGGATTCGCCGGATCTCGCCTGAAACGGAACGAGGGGTCCCGAACCCCGAATACCCCCGACGACCTCAGAGAACGTCTGCTTCGTCCCGCCGGCCCTGGCTTCCCGTCTGCGCGTTCGCCGTCGCCGGCTGGCTTCTCGTCCCCCTTCTCCCTCCCCGTCGCCGCACAGCGCAGACTGCCAGGAGCAGGCGCTTGCCGTCGATCTCCGGCTGCACGTCGGCACCGCATCTGGGGCGTCAAGCGCACAATCGAACACTTCCGAAACCTGGGCTCGCGGGCCGCGCCGAGTGCCGCGCCTGTTGCCCGGGGCGCGCCTGGTGCTCGGCAAGCAGGGCAGGCACTCGGGGGCCGCGACCCCTTCGGCACTGTGGCTCTGGCGTGGCGCGCCGAGCGCGCACCAGAGCAGCACGCGCCGAGCGGCACTGGAGCAGCACCGAGAAGCCTCGAGACGTGGAGTGAGCGTCGGGGCCCTCTAAGCGGGGACTTTGATGGAACCAAGGGCGCGTCGGCACACCCGAGGGAACTGCAGCCGTGGGTCGGGGACATCCCCCCACTGCATCTTCCAAGATCCTGGCTTTCGCAGTGCCCAAGCCTCCGGGGCACTGGCGGCGCCCCTCGCAGGCCACGCCCGGCAGGCCTCCCCCCCCCTGCCCTCGTCCCCGCCAAGAGCGGTGCCCGTGGGAGAGCCTGGGCGGGCGGCGCCCGCTTGGTGCTCGGGGAGCGCGGCACCCAGTCGGGGGCTGCGTCTCTGCCCTTGTGGCTCTTCTCCTCCGGAGCGGAGGGGGGGTGTGGGAGGGGGGCGAGCGGCAGCGGGGACGATCCCTTGCCGGCAGCGGCGGCTGCGGGCGGCGGCTGCAGGCGAGACGTCGGGGACGGTGGCGGGGTCCTCTGGAGGCCTCCGACGGACCCAGCCCCCAGCGGTGGGACACCAAGAGCGAGCGAGTGCAGCCGCTGACCCCGTGGCTCGTCTCCTCTGAGGGCGAGGGAGCCTGGACATCTTGACAGACAGATTTTCCCGGTCCGCGGGCCCAGAGGTCTCGACCGCTTCCATGGAGCCGAGCCGTCGTCCTGGATGGGTCTTCAAACGGCCCAGGGAGCCGAAAACGGCCCCAAAGGGTGAAATCGGAACACATCGTACTGGGAAGAATGGGGCCCGACCGAGGAAGGGGCCGAGGTGGTGCGAGCGACGGGCCCGAGAGCGGCCTGACAGGGAGCGCCTCTGGGAGGCACTGAGCGTGGCGCAGAGTTGTGCATTCTGAGCTAACTCCCGCTTCACCCACTCACCCTCGACTTCTTTTGATCTTGCGCGTCTCTGGGCCCGACTTCGACCATCTCTTCCAGGGCCTCCCCCCTGCGATTCGGAAGGGTGCCGCGCGCGTCGTTCGTCGAGTTTGCAGGGCAACGCGTGCGTTTGCTGGGCGATGCTTGCCGCCCGCGGCAAACCCCGCCACCGCGCCAGCGCAGCAATGTGTCGGTTCCCCTCCACCCGCACCTTAAAACTGTCTCAATTCCTTAAGCTATCGGCCGCGCGGTCGGGACAGCAATCCATGTGACAATCCCACCAGTTCTCTGTGCGTGAGTGGTCTGAGGAGCTCGTTCTGCTACCCCCCCCTTCCCCTTCGGGGAGGGGGATCCCCCTCCCCCTACCCCCTTCCCCTGGGTCTGGAGGGGGCGTTTCGCGAGGGGTTGGAGCGTCCGAGATGGCCCGAGATGGCTCCATGAGGACCCCAAAGAGCCCAAGATGGCCTCCAGGATCGCCCAACATATCCCAGCATTCTGCAACGTAGCTTCCACCACGCCTGCAAGGCGGCTCACAATATTCAAAGCCATTTTGTTTTCTCAGAATGTTTTTGTTGCCTTCTCGCCGTTCCGCTTCCGATGGGCTCTGCAAGCCTCAGGACGGCTCCAAGATGGCCCAAGACGGCCCCAAGATGGGCCCAATAGGGACCCAAGAGCGCCCAAGACCGCTCCAAGAACGCTCCAAGAGGGCCCCAAGAGGCTCATATCATGGCCCCGACGGGGGGACCCAAATCGACGCCGCTTTTTTTTGATCGATGGCTTCCAAGATGGCCTCGAGCGGGCCTCCACAGACTCCAAGAGGCCCCAAGAGGGTCTCAAGAGTGCCCCAGGTTGGCCCCAAGAGAGGACCCCTGGGGACCAAGAGGTCTCCCTCCTCGTTGTCGTTGTCGTCGCCTTCTTCCTCCTCGTCCTTCGGTTCACTGCTGGGCCGCGTTCTGCTATGCAGCCCTGATCAGGGCAAATCGATTGTCTTCTGTTGCTGGATGGGCTGATGGGGATGCGCGAATTATCAGGAACTTACACGGTCGCCTTCCTCGGCAGCCGAACGACCAGAGAAGGCATGCAACCTATATCGAGCAGACCACCGCTTGAAAATTCTCGGCGGCAGCCGTGCAGTGCATTCAGTGGTACCGCCCGGCCCGCCCAACAAAAATGCCACCCAACATGAACCCCCCCAAGCTGGGCCGTCCGCTATCGTTCACGATCGCACGAGAAAAGTGTAATTTTTCGATGACACATTGTGTTGCCTTGCGCGGCAGCCTTGAAACAAAGCTCGGCGCTTCAGCGTGCCGTTGCGAGCGAAAGTGTGAGGGCCACGGGGGGCGCTCCGATCTCCCTTGGATGCTCGAACAGAGCGTCCGGCTCGGCTTTTTCAATGTGACGGCAGCGGCAAGCGACGAACATTCCACGAATGATCATCTGGCGAGCATCGTCTGGTGAGGCGGCTTTCTGCTCAGACCCCAATCTCCGCATCGCGAACAAGCGGTGGTACGGAAAGGGCGCGGGATGATGGGGATGATGATGATGACGATGACGATGACGATGACGAAGATGGTGATGATGATGATGATGATGATGATGATGATGATGATGATGATGATGATGATGATGATGATGATGATGATGATGATGATGATGACGATGGTGGTGGTGATGATGATGACGATGGTGTTGCTGTTGAGAATGAGGATGACACACCTCCTGCGGACGACGCGCTCCTCGCACAGCCGCCGCAAGCCGCCCAAGGTCCGCCACCACTCTCGGCGCGGCTGCCCTGGCCAGCGCACGTCACGAGCGGGATCGAACTTCGCCGCTCTGGTCCCGCGCGGGAGCAGCCCTCACCACGCCGGCCACGCCTCCCGCTCAGCGCCGTGTGCGGCTGCGCTGGCGCCTGCTGTGCAGCGCCTCGGGCTCCCCCAACCAGCCTGGCTTCGTCGGGTGCAGCCTGTGCCACAGGCGGCGGAGGGCGTCCGCCTGCCTGTTGGACGTCGCGCGGTGCAGGCCCGGCTCCGTCAGGCCCATGACCCTCGCCGACGCCGCGCTGCAGCCGCACGCGTTGCAGCAAACGCGCGGCCCCGCCACGTAGAGCACGTGCGTGTCGTGGATGGCTGCGTTCCACCACGGCGGCCTCGCCGGGGGAGGCACGGCCGCCGCCGGGCCGCCGCCTCCGGCAGCCCTTCCAGAGGCAGGCGCAGCAGCCAGCGCGGCGCCACGCGCGCGTCCGCAGCCGCGGCCGCGGCCCCCGCGGGCCCTGGCCAGCGCGGCGGCGGCGGGCGCGGGCCCAGGCTCGGCGGTCTCTGGCGGGGCGGCTCCGGCGCTCCCCGCGCCTCGCGTCCGCCGCGGGGTCTCGCCAGCAGCATGCGCCTCCTCGTCGCCGTCGGAGGCGCCCAGAGATGCGCCAGGCGCGGGGCCGTCGGCAGCGACCTCGTCAGCCTCGTCGCCGCCGCTCTCCTGGCCAGCGGCCTGGGCCGCCAGCGACGCCCCGACGGCCGCCGCCGCGATGGCCGCCGCGGCCGTGCTGCTGCGAGGCTCGAGCGCTGGCGCCCTGGGCCGACCTGCACTCGCATCGCTCTGACAGCGTTCCTCGTGGACGAGATGTGGAGGACGAGGTGGAGGAGGAGGTTCCTTCCATTCCCTTCCCTTTCCCTCTGCAAGGGGAAGGGGAAGGGGAAGGGGGAGGAGGAGGAGGAGGAGGAGGAGGAGGAGGAGGAGGAGGAGGAGGAGGAGGGAGGAGGAGGAGGAGGAGGAGGAGGAGGAGGAGGAGGAAGGAGGGGGGATGACAAGGATGGGGTGAGGAAGACGTTACGGGGGGGGGAGGGGGAGGGGGAAGGGACGGGGGATGGGAGCAGGGACGGGATACTCCCATCCCAGCAGCTGGAGCCGAACCGCCTGCCATCTCCCCCCCCATGTCGTGAAGGAGCAGGGGCACCGAGGGGGCCGCCCCCCCGCTCGACCCAGGGAGAGCCTCGGGGAGCCCGAAGACGGCGAACAAACGCCCAAGACCCGTCTCGTCCAGGACCCGCCTTGCCCTCCGCGGCGGCCCACGCTGCGGAGCCCGCCGGAGCCCCCAGTGCCCAGCCGCCCCGCAGCGACCGTCGCGCCTCGGGGGCCGCGCTCGCTCCTCGCTTCGGTGGTGGCCGCCGTCGTGGTCGTCGCCGACGCCCCTGCCAGCGCGCCCTCGTCGAGGCGTCGGTGGTGGTGGCCGTTGTCGAGGTGGTGGTCGTCGTGGTCGTCGTCTGCCCCCCCCCCCCGCCGGCGTGCCCCGCGCCGCCGCCCCGCGGAGGGCGAATCGGCCCTCGGGGCGCGACCGCTCTCCGTGTGCGCGGCGCGCTTGTTCTCGCGCCGCCGCCGCCGCCGCCGCCGCCGCCGCGGCCGCCGCCGCCGCCGCCGCCGCCGTCGTCGTCGTCGTCGTCGTCGTCGTCGTCGTCGTCGTCGTCGTCGTCGTCGTCGTCGTCGTCGTCGTCGTCGTCTTCGTCGTCGTCGGCGGCTCCGCTCGTGGCGCTCTCGCGCCCGCGGCGCGTGCGCGTGTCTGCCCCGGGGGCGGCGGGGGCGGCCCGTCCTTGTCTCTGTCCCTGTCCCTGTCCTTCTCCTTGTCCTTTTCCTTGTCCTTTTCCTTCTCCCTGTCCCTTTCTTTCTCCTTCTCCCTATCTTTCTCCTGGGGGGAATCTTTTTACATCTTCTTGCACTCTGGATGGGATCGTCCTGAGACGCCCCATGACGACTGAACGATCAAACATGTATCTCCCGACCGCATGGCCGAAAGGGCCTCAAAGCTGAGCTACCAAACGATGCTCCTGCCTCGAGACGACCCGCGATCGCGGACTCTCGCGAGAGGGGCCGCCAAACGCCCTGCTCGTGCGGCTTCTCACCACTCGATGCCCCATTCTCCTGGGTGAGCCGACCCGCCGATTGTGGCAGGGGCGCGCTCCCCACCCGAGTCGTGCGCACGCTGACGTGGACCACGGAGCCGTGGATCTGGGGCGTGGGCGCCAGATCCACGGATGGAGAAAAGCGCCCCCCGAGACGTGGTGCCGACGCCGCCCGACTTGGCGATGCAGCGCAACGGTTCTGCACGGCAACGGGACCCGCCGCCCATGGCTGCGGGCCTGGGTCCAAAAACCCGTCGCTCCACGCGGGCTGCTCTCCACGGAGCGCACCAGCTCTGCAGAGAAACAGGACCTGCCGCCCATTCTACGCCCGCGCCCGAGTTACAGAACCGGCCTGGGCTGCCCACCCCCGCTGAAGACGAAGCCAAGACGAGGATAGATTCGGGTGAGGATAAATCGGGGATCTCTGAGATCTGGCGGTTCTGGGGGATGTCTCGGGCGCCGCGGCCTTCTCAGCGCGTTCCGGGACGCTCCGAGAGCGTTCCGGAACGCTCTGGAACGGATTTATCCTCGTCCCAGCCCCGTCCGACCCATCCCAGAGCGCCCCCGTCTCCTCCTCCTCCTCCTCCTCCTCCTCCTCCGCTCCCCTCCTCCTCCTCCTCCTCCTCCTCCTCCTCCTCCTCCTCCTCCTCCTCCTCTCCCTCCTCCTCCTCCTCCGCTCCCCTCCTCCCCTCCTCCTCCTCCTCCTCCTCCTTCCTCCTCCTCCTCCTCCTCCTCCTCCTCCTCCTCCTCCCCGCGCTTTGCTGGCCCGCCGCGCCGCCGCCTTCGTCGTCGGCGCGCCGCGAGGGCGAGGCCCCGCGTTTCCAGGCGCGCCTCCTCGGAGGCGCGATGTCTCCGCGGACGGCCCAGCGGCCGACGACAGGGGCGGCCGACGAGGGGGGGGCCGACGGGGGGGTGTGCGCCACGATTTTTTTTTTTGGTGTATATATATATATATATATATTTATTCTCCTTCCCTTCCAGGCAAAGGCAACCTTCGGTTCTGGGCGACACACATTCTGCAACGGCAAGATGAACACGTCGCGGGTCTGGGACTGGAAGCGGGACAAGATGCGACCAACTAGAACAGATCCCGACCACTTCCAGCCAATCCCGAGCAGTCAGAGACTCGCAGCCACCCAGGGAGCAGTGCGTGAGGAGTCAGGAGGAGAGGAGGAATGGAGACCACGGTGTTCTGTTCCAAGCGAGAACCCAACACAGGAGGGCTGGGAGTACATATGACCCACCACCTGCACCCCCAGACTTACCGAGTCCCCTCCGCATACGATGTTTCGAGATGCATTCTGCACGGTCGTTCATCGTAACTATCAAACAGTACCATACCAGCCAGGCCCTGTATCGACCCATCCCTCCGTGCCGCGAGGCGCGAGGGGAGTTTCGCAAGGCTCTCATGTGCTCTCTGCCCTGAGCCCTGTATTCTAATAGTCTAAGGGCTGGGGTCCGACATTCTCGGACTGTTCGGGCTCCAATTAGCAGAGCGGCGCTCTGCTAAGTTACCTCAAAGCATACGCACTCGCTGTTCCTCCCCTTCTTCGCAGAGCACTGCTCTGCTAATTGGCCTCAAAACAGGGTTCTCCATCCTGCTCGGGCTCTGATTAGCAGAGCACCGCTCTGCGAAGTGGCCTCAGAGCATGCGTGCGTTCACTGCTTTTTTTCTCATTAGCAGAGCGCCGCTTTGTTATTTTGACTCAGCGCATGCGCACTCGCTGTTGATGCTTTATTCATCCGAGGGCCCCAAAACGGCCAAGAGGGCCCCTAGAAGCGCCCGAGAGGGTCCGACAGGCCTCTAAGACGGCCCAAGAGCGCTCCGGCCCAAGGGGTCCCACAGGAGCCCCAACAGCGCTCCAAGAGGACCTCCAAGAGGGCCCCAAGATGCAACAATCACATATTTCCTTGTGTGTTTCAATGTTTTTCGCGCGCTAGCGTTTTCGGGCTTCCGACGCTCCAAGGCCGCCAAGACCGCCCAAGAAGTCCCCCAAACAGCCCAAGAGGCATCCAAGACGGCCCAAAAGAGCCCCAAGACTGCCTCATGAGGGGGAACACGAACCGACAATCCGAGCCTTCTGCCCCAAGAAATCAATTGGAGACCTCAAGAGGCATCCAAGTGGCGCCAAGAGGCGCCCAGGAGGCCCTAAGAGGCTCCCAAACGTCCCCCAGGAGGCCTCAGAACTGCCTTCAAGAGACCCCCGAGAGGCCACTCGCGATATCCCAACAAACATCCAGGAGGCCTCTAACCCACAACCCAAGCACGGTGGCGGGATGGGCCGAAGACTGCTAGATCCGCCGCCCCCTGTCGATTCATCGCAGGGGTGCCTGGCGTGCTTGACGATTTCGGTTTTGGTTCTTTTTCCAAAAGAACTCTCCCAATGGGTTTCGGCCCGTCCCGCCGGGGTCCCGGGAGGCCCTTCCACGTGCACGAACTCCGGAAACAATCCTCCCTGAAACGGCCGTTTCGCTCGGGACATCCTCAACAAATTGAGAAGATGGCCCAAGATGGCCTCCAAGTCCGCCCAAGACGGCCCAAGACGGCCCAAGAGGCCCCCCAGAGGCCTCCCAGACGGCCCAAGAGGCCTCCAAGAGGTCCTCCAGGAGGGCCCGAAGAAGCCAAAATAATTGCTTCTCCTTAGGTTTTTGAAGGATTTTGGAATTGCTTCTTCTCGGCATTCCGACGGCTCAAGACGGCCCAAGAGGCCCCCAAGATCGCCCAAGAGGCCCCCAAGAGGGCCCCATGACGGCCCAAGTGGCCTCGAAGATGGCCCCAAGAGGGCCCCAAGACGGCCCAAGGCCTCCAACACGCCCAAGATGGCCTCCAAGACGCCCAAGATGGCCTTCAAGACGGCCCCGAAGCGCCCCAAGAGGGTCCCCCGTTGGCCCAGAAAAGGCCCCCAACACGGCTCCCGACGGCGTCAGACGTGCCAGGAACCCACCATGATGGCCGAAGTGGGCTCGAAGCTGGCCCAAGACGGCCCAAGAGGCCCCCAAGAGGGCCTCCAGGAAGGCCAGAAAAGGCCAAAAAACATGGATTTTCCTGAGGTCTTTGACGGATTTTGACATTTCCTTCTTTTCGGCCTTCCGACGGCCCGAGACGGCCCAAGAGCCCCCAAAGATGGCCGAAAGATCGCCCAAGAGGCCTCCAAGACGGCCAAGGTGACCTTCAAGATGCCCACGTGTTCCCCGAAGGCTTTCCAAACCGATTCGGGGAACACATGGTCCGATGGCTTGGCAGGTCTGGCCTCAACGTTCGGCCACACAGGCGCTTCCAAAAAGGCAGGGGGCGGCGGTGGTTCGCCGTAGGCGTCTTCGATCCGCCGCCCCCTGTCGGTTCATCGCAGGGGTGCCTGGCGTTGCTTGACGATTTCGGTTTTGGTTTTGGTTCTTTTTCCAAAAGAACTCTCCCAATGGGTTTCGGCACGTCCCGCCGGGGTCCCGGCAGGCCCTTCCAGGAGCACGAGCTCCGGAACAGATCCTCCCTGAAACGGCCGTTTCGCTCGGACATCCTCAAAAAATCGCGAAGATGGCCCAAGATGGCCTCCAAGTCCGCCCAAGATGGTCCAAGACGGCCTCCAAGACGGCCCAAGAGAGCCGAAGACGGCCCAAGACGGCCCAAGAGGCCCCCCAGCGGCCTCCCAGACGGCCCAAGAGGCCTCCAAGAGGCCCTCCAGGAGGGCCCGAATAGGCCAAAATCATTGCTTTTCCCTAGGTTTTTGAAGGATTTTGGAATTTGTTTCTTCTCGGCATTCCGACGGCTCAAGACGGCCCAAGAGGCCCCCAAGATCGCCCAAAAGGCCCCCAAGAGGGCCCCATGACGGCCCAAGTGGCCTCCAAGATGGCCCCAAGACGGCCCAAGAGGCCCCCAACACGCCCAAGATGGCCTCCAAGACGCCCAAGATGGCCTCCAAGACGGCCCCGAAGCGCCCCAAGAAGGTCCCCCGTTGGCCCAGAAAGGCCCCCAACACGGCTCCCGACGGCGTCAGACGTGCCAGGAACCCACCAAGATGGCCCAAGTGGGCTCGAAGCTGGCCCAAGACGGCCCAAGAGGCCCCCAAGAGGGCCTCCAGGAAGGCCGGAAGAGGCCAAAAACATGGATTTTCCTGAGGTCTTTGACGGATTTTGACATTTCCTTCTTTTCGGTCTTCCGACGGCCCGAGACGGCCCAAGAGCCCCCAAAGATGGCCGAAAGATCGCCCAAGAGGCCTCCAAGACGGCCAAGATGACCTTCAAGATGCCCACGTGTTCCCCGAAGGCTTTCCAAACTGATTCGGGGACCACATGGTCCGATGGCTTGGCAGGTCTGGCCTCAACGTTCGGCCACATAGGCGCTTCCAAAAAGGCAGGGGGCGGCGGTGGTTCGCCGTAGGCGTCTTCGATCCGCCGCCCCCTGTCGATTCATCGCAGGGGTGCCTGGCGTGCTTGACGATTTCGGTTTTGGTTTTGGTTCTTTTTCCAAAAGAACTCTCCCAATGGGCTTCGGCACGTCCCGCCGGGGTCCCGGGAGGATTGCCCACGTGCACAAACTCCACAAACAATCCTCCCTGAAACGGCCGTTTCGCGTGGGACATCCTCAAAACATCGCGAAGATGGCCCATGATGGCCTCCAAATCCGCCCAAGATGGTCCAAGACGGCCTCCAAGACGGCCCAAGAGAGTCCAAGACGGCCCAAGAGGCCCCCCAGAGGCCTCCCAGACGGCCCAAGAGGCCTCCAAGAGGTCCTCCAGGAGGGCCCGAAGAGGCCAAAATCATTGCTTTTCCTAAGGTCTTTTGAAGGATT